AAAGAAAAACAGTGTCATAAAAAGAGCCACCCCAACAGGGTTTCTGCGGAATCAATGTTCTGTCTTTGCTCAGCGCAGAACAATACGTGTCCTCGCTGTGGGCCTTTTTTGTTAAGTGTTTGTGTTTCTGATTTTTAGGATGTTGGGTTGCATTTGCATTTCACTTTGCACTAATGTTGCTATTTACACAGGCCTGTTTGCCAGGGGGAGTGAGCTTAGTGTTTGATATTTAAAAAATTGTGTTAAAAGAACATCGTGTTAGGAAACCTCACCAAGTAACGGACCTATTTTATGAAAAAATTGAAGGGCAGCATTCAAGTTCAAAGTTGTGGAGCCTTCTTCGGGTGTAAAGGCTCCACAGCCGAAACGTTGTGTTTAATTTCTTCTCTTTCCAGTATGGAATAAATCTATTACCTGTTCCTTTGCAGCCTACGCATGCTGACGCAGCTCCCCACCTGAACGTCTTTAAGTTGTTTCTTTTTTAGTCTGGATATATGTTAAACTGTTTTCATATAGTAGGGTCCAAATGTAAATATATCAGTTTTGAGTTTGCTGTGAAGTCTAGCTCTGACTGCAGTCATGTTTTATTTATTTTGAGTGTGTGTTTGAAAATTGTAGATGCAGATCATGATCTGTATCACATTGAAGCAACACATTAAAGTCCTGCAGATTTCTTAGCTGGTCAGTGAAGTGTGAATGAAGCCTGAACAAAATAACGTTTTGGTCCCAATTAAGTTTATTAAATCAGTATCAGGGTGTGATCACAAGCAATCATTCATGCAGCTACACCACCCTGAATATGCCTGATCTTAGCTGCTAAGCGGGGTTGGGCCTGGTTTGTACTTGGATGGGAGACTGCCTGGGAATGCCAGGTGCTGTAAGCTTTGGGGGTGGAGTGGTGGCTCTGTGGCTGGAAGGTTGCTGGTTCAAGTCCCACAGCTGGCACTGGAATCCTACTCCATTGAGGCCCTTAACCCCAACTGCTCCAGGGGTGCTGTACAATCACTTTATTAACCCTTACAATTTCTTGCATTAGGAATTATCTTTTTGCATACCCCAGCTTCTCTCCCTATCTGTGTGTCTGTGTCTCAAGGAGAGCAAGCTGGGGTATGCAAAAAGATCATTCCTAATGCAAGAAATTGTTAATAAAGTGGTCTTAAATATGCTTCTGTGCTCTTAGTTGTGTTCTAACTACCTCATCCATGTGGTCAAGCTATCACAAATGAAGTGAGTTAAAGTCAAACATCCAAACATCCAGAAAGGCTCTTTGTCACAGTTGTGTTGTTGAAGTTTATCTGTAACTACTGAACTTCAAGTTTGTCCAGTTCAGCAAAACAAGAAGTTCATGAAAGTTCCTGCATCTAAAACTTTAAAACTCCTAAGAATATTTTCATCGGCTTACTGGTAGTTCCTTGGAGCTTTGTGACAGACAAAAGTGTTTGAGCACTCTGTGCTTTCTGCAAAATAAAAAAAGAAAAACACAAAGCATCAAGTTATCAGATGTAGTTTTATAGTCCTGCATAACAATGAAGTATACAGCAAAGTCAACAAGGGAGTTAGCAAAGAGTAAAATGATGAAGGAGTTTCGCATAGCAGCCACCTGACCTGATTAGGCTTTGAATGACATAGGTGGATCAGAGGGAAGTTGCTTGCATCACACAGTGCTCTGCTAACAATTCATCTGAGGCTGCAGAAAAAGACTCACATACACAATACAAGTCATGAAAAGACACGATGTACAGTACTCTGTGCAGTCATACAGTACTATATGAATTGCATTTGTGCATGTAATTGCATTTATATTTAAATTATACTGTATGTGATTTGAACAATTTATAGTTTCTACCTCAATATTCTACTCTATTTAAAGAATACTCTTGGAATTTATGATATTCCAAGAATTCATGATAGAAGGCAAATTTGACAAATTGAACATTTCCTAATCTTTCTTAAACTTATACTTTCCTGTTCTTGAGATGCTTCTGTGAGGTAGGGTTTGTTTGATTCTTCAATGGTAAGAAATATGTAAACATAAAATGGAGTTTTAGAATTGCAGAATTCAGGTATTCCTAAGAGCTGACAGGTAGCTGCTCTGTGTCAAATTGTGTCAGGTTAGTGCTGTTTGCCGAAACACTTGATAAGCCAAAACCCTTACTCTCACTGCACGAGCAATCAGTCATTTGCTTTGCGTCCTTGGATGTGATCACTTTTCATTCAATTGATCTTATTGTCACAACATAAGCAAATGTAAAAGTCCCTGGAACCCCAGAACATGCAAGTGTTCGCTATTGAACATACCAGGAAATTCAATACTGTATTATAAAGTTATAATGATAGTTTGCAAGCTGAACATAGAGATCAGTGTCTGGCAAATGTGTATAATTTTTGATATAATTGATAACCTTTAGTCTGACCTGCACCACTATCTAAGAAATATAATGTCATCCACCAGAAAATCTTATAAACGTACCCTGTCTGTAGATACCATATAACTGTTCTGCAGCTCGCTGCTTTCATGCACTGAGCTAGTTACAGAAGTGACATCACTGCCCTCTGCAAAGGCAGCAGACCTGGTTTCCTGTCCTGGTGGAGTCATCCACTGTCTAGGGAGTAGTGCTGCACTGTGGAATGGGGATCAAATCCCGGTAGGAGCAGAGAGGGTTACACTTGTGAAACAAGGAGCGAAAGTAACAACTAGAGTATTGACTTACTGTAGACTCCCAAGTAGAGGAAGAGATGCCCTCTTTCTTGGCAGCTGCTGCCTTAAATGAATTCAAACTTGAGATGATCATTTTTTCACCCACAACAGGTCACTTACCTTTTTTAGTAAAACATAACCTCTCACACAAACTGCTCCTGTTCAATGACTTTTTGGTCAGTTAACTGCACACCAGTTAGGTATCACTCTAGTGACAGTATAGTTCACATATAACATAACATACAGTAGCACAGCATGAACCACAATGGGCGCCTAACTAGAATTCAGACTGCCATGTCATGGGAACCACTACGCAGATTGACTTGACACTTTGAAGGTGTTGTCATACCCAGATCTGCTTCTGAACTGCACCTCCCAGGTTAATTGTGTCCTAAGATGGCATCAATAAAATGGTTATGAAACATATTAGACTACAACAGTCTGATGCTTCAATATAATTGTTATAAAAGGATGATATTTAAAATGTATTCCTAAAATCCTACACATCAAGTGTTATATTTTTCCTTTTCCTTTTTTTTTTCTTTTTGTATGGCATTAAACGGATCCATAGTATTCACGGAGTAATTGAATTCCACTGTTATCTTGTTCTCCAAGAAGACCTAGCTGTGTTTGAAGTCAGGTTTCTAAAGAAGAATGGGAAACAGATCAATTTGCAGAGTGTAATTTTACAGAAACAGCCTTGGAGTGCTTTGGCTGCTTGGAGTGTGTGCGGAAAGAATGGGTCTTTTCAAAGCCAGAGGACTGCTGCAGCGGACTATACAGAACCTGGTTTCACTGACACAGAGGGCATATTCCAGTGTTATTAACCGAGGTCACGAGTCCAAGGCAAGTCTCTAATGCAAAATATCAGCTCTACTTTCTGTAGGAATACCTGGGTTGATACAGCACTTACCGCAGAGACCAAGAAAGCTTCAAAAGCAGTTTTCAGTGGCCAGGAGCTGAGCATCATGTAATGTATTTTACCTCCAGTGCCATGTTTCAACAAATGGCAGAGAAAAGATGGAAAGTGTATCTGGAGGTCTAAGTTCAGATCTGAATTGTGAATCTAAAAACCATCAGGGAACAAAAGGCCCAGTGTCCTTACCACATTTT